CTTATATTGAGTATGAATCTAAAAAAATGCTAGCAAGCTGGCACTCACAAGGAGTGCCTATATCAAATACCTGGCTCTCCCTATTTTAGGAGTCAGCTTCCGCCATTATCTGTGATTATTCTGGTAGCATTGACAGGAAGACATGGCTATTTTGGCATTGCAAGCCCAGCCAACCATTTATTGTTTATCCTGTGGTGTAGAGTATTTGAGTCCTCCATGGTATGTGTGCAGTATACAAAACTCAGTTGGAGTTTGACGCGTGGGTCCCAATCCTGCATGAACTCCACACACCTGGACTCCCACTTGTCCAAGGAGCCCCACTGAAGTCAGTGGGGCTCTTTGTGGGGCAGTGAACTACCCCTGTGTTGTAACAACCAGGCAAGGTACTAACAAATTCAACAGGACTTTATTCTTAAAGTGGAAACCTCTTTACCAAGCTGCTGCTGCACCTTTGGTAGCTCTCACTCAGCCACCTCAACTCCCCCCGCTCCTTCCTGTTTCCTGTCCTTTCAGACTCCCAACAGCCACCAGTGCTCCTAGTTCTAATAATTACAAGCAGCATCTAAACACCACATTCCCTCCTCTCTTAAGAAACTCTCCCAATTAAAATAAACATTGTTGTTCTAACCACAGGAACAAATATGAAACAAGACACTATACTGTTGGCAGAAATATTACACTGAAAACACTGTAGATACTATAAAACATAGTCTCTAGTCCAGACAGGTGGTCGTCTTGGTCTGACAGGTCGTCTCTCAAGCCCCGGTTCCAGTGCAATGTCTTGTATGTTGATACTACGGTGAAGTCATCCAGTGCAGACTGGGTGTTGGCATAATCTCCTCTTGGTGCATAGGTAGGTGCAAGATAAGAAGCATTCCATACCCGCCCATCAGAAAGTCGATAGGTGTAAGCTCCCTTCTTCTCTATGATTTTAAAAGAAGCTGTGAATTTATGGTCCCCTTTTCATAAAATTCCAGGTTTTCGTATTCTAACGAAGGAACCACACTCAAACTTTGGTTCCTTAGCACCCTGCCGCTTGTCTGTGAAAGCCTTATACTTTGCTTGGTTCTGTTCAACTGTTTTTCTCACATCATCCTCGGTTGGGGCATCAGGACGTGCCTGCAACAATCCAGCAATGTTCAGTTTAGTATTCATCTGTTTCCCATGCAGTAACTCTGCGGGTGATCTTTGCATTGTGGCATGTCATGTAGCCCAGAATGCTTGCAAGAAATCAGTAGTGAAGGTTATCCACAATTGCCCTTCCAGTTTAGCCATTTACAAACTCTCTTTCAAATTTCTGTTAAACCGTTTGATTTCCCCATTGGCTTGAGGGTAATATAGAGATGACCTTCTGTGTAAAATGTTCCTCTCTGCTAGAAAAGTTTCAAACTCCAGGGAAGCAAATTGACTACGATTATCTGAAACCAGTTTTTTGGGGTTACCTTCCCTGCTAAAAACTGAAGAGAGGAACTTAATTACTGTAGCAGAAGAGATTTGCGATGTAAACGCTACCTCAGGCCATTTACTGAAATTGTCTATTAAAGTGATGGCTAACGGCAGTCACTTGGAGCAATATCAAAGGGTCCTACAATGTCAATTGCCACTTTTTCCCATGCAGATTCAGGAAGAGGAACAGGCTCTAATGGAGGGGTACATGTCACTGCTGTCTTATCATGCATTTGGCAAGTGACACAGGATTTTGTGAGTGCTTCAGTTTGAGAGTCCATCCCTGGCCACCAATATAGATCCCGTAGTCGTTGTTTGGTTCTGACAATTCCTTGATGAGTATTGTGTGCCAGGTGTATGAGTTTTTACTGTAATTCTTCGGGCACAAGTAGCCGGTGTGTACCTCATAGCACACAGCCATCAAGCAAAGAAAGTTCATCCCGAACTCTAAAATAAGGCAGCAAAACTGCGTCAAGGTTTTTATGGTTACAGGGCTATCTCTTTGTCAGAAATTCCTGTAGTTTTTGTTGAATTGGACACGCTGAACAAGCATCTTGAAATTGTTCTCTTGTAACTGCAGTAAGAGTGCTTGTAATAAGCACAACTACTACATCCTCATCCTCCAGGACCATCTGGTGAAGGCAAAGGCAGGCGAGAAAGGCAATCAGCTACCGCATTTTGGTTTCCAGGTTTATATTCCAGTTCATAATTGAAAGAGAGTAGTCATGCAGACCACCTAGCAATACGATATCTTGCTCTTCCCAGTCCTTTCATGGTGAGCAACTTCATCAAAGGGCTGTGGTCTGTGCGCAACTTAAACGTGCGGCCCCACAGGTAAGTTCTCCATTTTTCAGTAGCCCAGACACAAGCAAGTGCTTCTTTTTCGACTGTAGAACATTTTCTCTCAGCATTACTTAGTGTCCTTGAAGCAAATGCAACAGTCCTCTATGTGTTGTCCTCATGAAGTTGTGTGAGGACAGCCCCAAGTCCATAATCAGAAGCATCGGTAGTTACAATAGTGGGCAATGCAGGACTGAATAGTGCAAGTACTGGACTATGTACAATCAAGTCTTTCACCATTTCGAAACTAGCTTGTGCATCTGTTGTCCACACTAGGGTTGAACTTGTCCATAGTAATTCTCGTAACGGTTCAATGACAGAAGCATAATTGGGAATAAATTTTGCATACCAGGAGGTAAGACCCAAGAAGGAACATAAGGTTTGCAAATCTGTTGGAGGAGGAGCATTTGAAATTGCAAGGATATGATCTGGATCAGGTTTTAGTCCAGCCTGTGAAACTGTATGCCCCAGAAAGGAGAGTTCAATTTGTCTAAATTTGCATTTGGCCCTATTGAGCTTGAGGCTTGCTTTGCTGATGCAGTTTAGTACAGACTGCAGGTTATTGTCATGCTCCTCAGAAGTATTTCCAAACATGATAATATCATCCAGATAGTACTGAACTCCACGTTGATTCTTCAGAATCAATTACATCATTTTTTGGAAGGCACTTGGGGCAGATGCGAGACCATATGAAACACATTTGAAATGAAATAGTCCCTCAAGTGTAATAAATGCTGTGAGGTCTCTGCTATTTTCATGCAACATAACCTGGTAGTAATTGCTCTGAAAATCAAGAGTAGAAAACATCTTTGCTCCATGGAGTTCTAAAAATACTTCTTCTATGTGAGGAAGAGGATGGCTGTCAATCACAATAGCTTTATTTGGCTCCCTTAAGTCCACACAAAGGTGAATGCCTCCACCCTTCTTCTGCATCACTACTATAGGTGAAACCCATTCCGAGGAGTCTATCTCCTCAATAATGTCCTTTTGAACAAGTTTTCTAAGTTCCTCTGAAACAGCTTCCCTGACTGAAAATGGTAAGCGCCGTAACTTCTGTCGTACAGGCATCACATTCCGCATTTTAACTTTATGCAGAAACCCATAAGCACAGCCAAGTTTCTCTTCAACCTGGTGTTGGGTCCCAGCTGAAACTGATGTGTGTTCCGCAAGAGTGCTTTGAGGAAGATCAATTCGTCCATTAACTACCCAGAGATTTAAAGCAGCCAATAAATCTCTGCCAAGGATAGGAGTGCCTTTTTGGACAATGTAGAACTCTGCAGTTACACAGCAATCACCAAACGTAACTATTGCTAGCAGGCAGCCATGTACTGGAATATGTGTTTTTAAATAGCACACCAAGTGAAGTTTGGGTTCAGTAAGAGGCACATCTTTAAAGTAATGCAAATAGATGGAATCAGGTAGTAAAGATACTGCTGAGCCAGTGTCCAGCATTAGCTGAATAGAGTGTGATTTGCCTGAGGGTATGGCGGAAACGTTTACAGTGTGCTTTATTTGTTCTGGAATATGTACAGTAGTGATTTTGTCCACGCTCAGCACAATAACATCTGGTATTGTAACTGTATGCACCTGTTGATTGAACTGGCTGCTGCGACATACTTTAGCAAAATGCCCAATCTTTTTGCAATGATTGCACTGAGCTACTTTTGCCAGACATCCTGTGTAGCTTGCAAGGTGTTGTGGGGATCCACAGCGAAAGCATGCTTTTACTGTATTTTGAATTTGCTGATTCGGTGGTTTTTCATTAGTTTTCCTCTTAGAGTCGTTTGTCTGCAGCGATCGTGAACTTTTCTGCAAAGGAGTCACAGCCTGGACTGTGCCCCCTGTATCCATGCTCATTATTTTGGCTTCAGCTGTAGCTGACTCAATCTGGGGAGCAATGGTTATTGCTTTTTCTAGTGTAAGTTGTGGTTCTAAAAGTGAACGTTCTCTTACACGAAGCATGGTTGTTTTTTCAATGAGCTGGTCTCTAATCATCTCATCTGCCATATTCCCAAAGTCACAAGTTACAATCAGACTCCACAGGGAAGCAATATACTGCATTATAGGCTCCCCTAGTTTCTGGTCACGATGGCAAAATCTGTAGTGATTAGCTACTACATTCACTCTTGGTACAAAAAAATTCTTTAATGCAGTGAGTGCAGTCTCATATTTATCATCTGCAAGGGGAAAAGTGTAAAATATATGCTGCCCTTCTGCTCCAAGTCAGTGGATTAGCAGCGCACGCTTTCTTACTTGAGAAATCTCTGTAGCACTGATTGCAAGCAGACAAGTCTCAAACATATGGATCCAGGCAGTAAAAGCAATTGGAGGGTCACCTGGGCTTTGCAGAAAGGGTGCAGGTGGGTTCAGAGGCAGAAGATCCATCCTCGTCGCCAAAATATTGTAACAGCCAGGCAAGGTACTAACAAACTTCAACAGGACTTTATTCTTAAAGTGGAAACCTCTTTACCAAGCTCTTTACCCTCAGTAGCTCTCACTCAGCCTCCTCAACTCCCCACCCCTCTTTCCTGTTTCCTGTTCTTTCAGTCTCCCAACAGCCAGTGCTCCTAGTTCTAATAATTATAAGCAGCATCTAAACACCACACCTTGCAAAGCTCACTGATCTGGATCACTGAGTGTAGCCTCCGAATTTGACATTCCTGCATGTACCTCAGAATTTTTCAGTACTGCAGTCAGCCATTTTGTATGTTCAATCAACGCAGCTGAAACCCAAACATCCCATAGCTAGAAATAATCTTAGACTCTGACAGGCAAGCCTGTGAAGCTGCATGTTTGCAATTTTGCTATCAGAATGAGATAAGAAGTGAATGCACTGTGAAAACAGAAGGAATGTTTGGACAGTCGCCCTTTGGTTTATGTCCCTCTGACAAGTAAGTTTTTTTTGTTGTTATGACTAGAAATGTTTTGCTGATAAGGAGAATAATAAATTGTTATTGGTTGTTGCTAAGGAAATTGTTAGCCCATTAGGGGCTACAATGAGTTATATACTTTGTCTGGAGAAAATTTATAAAACCTTTAGTTAGAAAGTGTGCTTTGGAGTAGCCTGAGGAAGCTTTTCTTTAGGCAAGGATCTGACACCTAAGTTCTCCAACAGCTAGATGGAAGGAGGGGCCCCTGGAAGCCTGGCTGTTGATTCCTGGAAACCATCTTAACTTTGGTAAATATAAAGGTTTAAGATGCTCTGGACCTACTGCTACAACATATGTGTGGGTGTGTGTACGCATGCGTGCGTGCGCACTGGTGACCTAATAAAAAGTAGTTTTAGGTGAAAGCACTCTGGTTTGTTTCAATCATATATCAGACGGAGGAGCTGTGCCCCATTTATTAATTTCTGCCACTGCCTGGAGGGAAACAAAGTTACCACTGCTTTCTGAAAACCGTGGGCAACATTAGCACTTACATTAGCTTGCAGAAACTAAATACAAAAAGAAAGACTGCATTTTAATGCATTATTTATGTGGCAAATAGTTGGATGCTTTTGTGTGTTTGAAATTTCATATTTACTGTGCATGTTGCAATGACGAAGACACTAGAGTGACTAGAGGATCTATTTATGGTTCCTGTTCTGACCCTTACAGGTATTCTCTTAGTCCTCCTGACAAGTGCAGTGCAGGGGGTTAAGTTATGTTTTCACACAAAATGTAGTTATAAACATGCAACACACGGGCATGCTGGTAAGAGACTGGTCTTTATTCCCTGGCTCCAGTCACATGTTGTGGTTCAGGGTTACAAAAGTGTATACCCACATCAAATGGCATGAGTTAGTATCACTGATTTTGGTGGCTATTGTAATACTGTTCACAGTGTGAAAGCCATGGCATGTTTCTCTGCAGGTGTGTAAAGTTAAGACTTAATTGTTACTTGATCACTGCCTTTCAGTTCAGTAGGGTATATAATGTATCGTACAGCTATGGTGGCTGTTATCATTTAATGTCCTAGCACCTAGGGTGAGAGCATTCTCAAGTGATGATGTGTTACCAAAGCAAATAAACAAGCACAACAGGACTAGCTTTTTCTTACTGGCACCTTGGAAAGATGACCCATTTACCTTTTCTTTCCAATGGCAAAATCAAATTTGATTTTTTTAAATTTATATAATTAATTTTCATATAGAAAACACTTGAGGATGTAACTCGGGGTATCAAACTATAGTATTTTACAGAGACCAGATGTGCGAGTAATATCTTTTATTGGACCAACTTCTGTTGGTCAGAGAGACAAGCTTTCGAGTTCTGTATTAGCTCAAAAACTTGTCTCTCTGACCAACAGAAGTTGATCCAATAGAAGATATTACCTCACCCACCTTGTCTTGTCATATCCTGGGACCAACATGGTTACAACAACATTGTATATAGTATTTTAGACAGTGTGCTACAGCCATGTCAGACATATGTATTCCATTCATGGAACATATGTGACCTAAGTTTCAGAGTTCCTGAGCACTCACAGATCAGCATTCACAAAATTCAGGGGTGGGGGAGATTTACTAAAGGACACTCTCTGGGAATACAGGTGGAAAGAGTGATGAAGAGAGTCAGAGAAATGTGACCTGCCAAGAACCACACATCATTATGATGACAGCATTTGGAAATGCAATATATTTTCTCCTTTCATGTAACAGAGATTGCAGCACAACTGTGAAAAGACTAAATGAGAATTTATTCATTTCAGTAAGAATCCTTTTATTCCAAATCAGATGCATGGATAATCAATTTAAGACTTAGAAAAACTGAGTAAATGATAACCACAAATGAAAATGTCTTTAATGTTTCATCAGCATTCTCCCCATTAAATTGCCATCCTGCATTGTTTCCAGAAGTAGGTAGCTTCTTTGCTGTTTAAGAATAATATGCAAAAGAGGAAAGGGACACATAAAATAAACAGAAGTATGCCAAGTGAGTGAGTTTTAGAATTCTCTTTCTAAGATATCTGAACTAGTATGTTAGTTTTCTCTAATTCCTTAGTGTTTTTATTCAGTGCAATGCTCTTCCATTGCAACACTCTGAAGTTTAAGGCTATTCTAGATTAGCAGTGAAGACATCACACATATTTGTCCTGAACATCTTTTATACATTCACCCATTTTAACCTGTATCTCTTTCGGACACAAAAATTCCAAGAATAGCATTAAGACACAGCTGGAGGAGTTCTGTGTCATTATTCTCTTTTACTGTTAATGACTGCGAGTAATTTAAAAAAATCTTTGGTTAGGATCCCAATAAAATGGATTATTTATTTAATGGGATTTAGCCATCTGAATTCAGCTATGAATTCATCTGTAAATAAAAATTGCACATTATCTGGTAAATTGGCAAAATATTTATATGTACCTCCACATTCTACTGTATGGAACAAAAACTGCATTGTGCCATAGGGCCTATTTCACTAGCAGCGAATGGAGAACCTCCTATAGCTCAAGTACCAAAGGCAAGTGCTTTTGGAGCAGGAGGATCCATGCTATATTTTTTCTGCTGTCACTCAGATGTTTTAAATGGCCCCAATGTATAAGATTTGTTATAATATTAATTAGAAAAATGCATGAGCAATAAGACTCAAGATCTTTTTTAAATCTACCAGAAGAATTGCATCCTCACACAACTGAAGCTCCATGCTGCGAAAAAAACATGATAAAAAAACCTCTTTGTGACTTGGGTTGCAACTATAAATAATAAACCTGGATCCCTCATTGAATGGTCTCAGTGCATGCTTTTTTGCTAGCTTTATCCTTATCCTGTGGTCCCTGTTTGGACAAGTCCCTTAAGACTCCATCTCTGACATACTACGAAAGGAGCAAACACGATGCAACCTTGGCAGAGATCATTACCAAAACACACACACATCTTTATAAGCTTACTTTTTGGCTCCTAATGTATAACTCTGTCACAATAGTGCCTCGAAGTCCAAAGTGAAACAGAGCAATTCATCCTTCCAGAAGACTCAGGGGGCTCCCCTGTGACATGCTTGGAGATGGCTGAATATATCTCACAAAGACAGATGTGAAAAATAAATAGAAACATGATAAACAAAGAGGAAATATAAAATAAAAAATACAGGTACAGGAAGACGTTATTTATTAGTGTGCCCTATAAAGTACTGGTTTGGAGGACATACCTCACATTTCACTCTTAGTTGTGAATGTCTGGGCTTTTAGTCCACTCTGGAAATCTCCAGCATGTTTAATGTTCTATTAGTGTACATTTTTCAGGGTGTGTGAATGGTGTGTATTATGTGTGTGCACTTGACTCATATTGAGTTAAAGACATAAAGCATAATTAGAAATGAAAGTAGAATGCATGAAACTAACTAGATATTTCTGCATCATTAACAGCTGTCTAATCTCTCTCTCCCTCCTAGTGAATAGAATGGGTACAGTGCCTTCTGGTAGCTACTATATCCAATCTCATCAGGCGTGAGTGTTCATGGTAACTGCATGAAGAATAGGTTACATGTGGGAGTTAGCCATAAGCAACTTTGCTTTAGCAAAACCTCAGTCCTCATGATTTGGTTTTGCAAACCTCAAATCAAAGCCACCAAAATACAGACGATTATTTAAAACTCCCAAGCATCCACATTACCGAAAAGCACACAGGAGCAGCCAAGAAATCTCACATACTTGCTGTGGATTTCTGATATTAGTGGAAGGCCTGTTGCCATCTGGTGTCTTCTAATGAGAACATCTCTTGATAAGCAGGAGGGTAGGAAGGGGATCTCCAGCTCCTAGGAAGGTGAGGCAATTCCATCCCCAGGTGAGAAAAGAACATGGAATGGGGACTCTTCACCCAGGGACCCTACCCGAAGGGTACCCAGGAATGTACCTGCCTGTGCAGGTGTCATGGTGCACCCTCCCATTTCCTATAGTTGCACCCTCTGACTTCATATATTCTCTAACCCCTGTTAGCAGGTACTACTTGAATCTGGAGGTATATGTTTTGCTTCTGTACTAGCAGGTATTCGTATGGACATCTCTATGAGGCGATGCACCTATGTATCTCCTTATGTCATGTGTCACTGCAAAGAACTATCCCTTCTGCTTTACAGGTATTTGTGTCTGACACTGGCTGGTCACTTTTCATGGGAAGGATCTGTGCGAACAAACTACTCATCCAGTGACATTTTCCATTTTTTGGCTCTGTCCCATGATGGTCTGAAAGACTCTGGGAAGTTGCAAAAACCTGAGGGTACAATCTGCATTTGTCTTGGCTCCTTCTTTCCAAGTGAGGTTTACTTTATTTATTTATTTTGCTTGTCTCTTACTCCACAGTTTGGGCCTTAATAATAAGATATTTGTAGTAAAATGTGTCCCTTACAAACAGTTAATTGTAATATATTTATGTTGTGTACTTCAACCAAGAATGGAAATAAATAAACTGAATTTTAGTTGTGGAGTTTGTAGGAATTTGTTTCGAAAAATGCTAAACAACTAAGAAACGAAATACTAAAGAGTGGCCATTGCTCTTAAGAAATTAACCACCTCAATAAGTAGGTACTGAGGCTGGTTGGATCACAGAAACCCCTTTGGGGTTGCCAACTGATGTACCAAGACTACTTCTGCCCCTGCTTTCCCTGCCAGCTTGGAACGCCAGCACCCTGTCTTGCTGAGCCAGACACGCCAGTCTCCTCCAACACAGACCCAGGGTCTGAACCATGGGCCCCAAAGCTGCAGACTTAACTGAAAGCAACTTAAGAAGTGCTCCTCCCTTTTACACTCAGATGCTAAACTCCCAATGGGGTCCACTGATAGAGAGGTATGCACAGCTGTTTGCCCCCCCCCCCGGTATGAATATATACTCTAGGTTAATTAATAAGTAAAAAGTTATTTCATTAAATACAGAAAGTAGGATTTAAGTGGTTCCAAGTAGTAACAGACAAAACAAAGTGAATTACCAAGCAAAATAAAATAGAACACGCAAGTCTATGTCTAAGAAAACTGAATACAGATAAAAACTTCACCCAGTAAGCTTCCTTTTCCAGACTAGTCTCCTTCTAGTCTGAGTCCAGCAATCACTCACACCCCCTGTCATTACTGTCCTTTGTTCCAGTTTCTTTCAGGTATCCTTGGGAGTGGAGAGACTATCTCCTTAGCCAGCTGAAGACCAAAAGGGGTCTCCCAGGGGTTTATATAGACTTTCTCCTGGGGGTGGAACACCTCCCTCCCCTCTGTGTAGAATCCAGCTACAAAATGGAGTTTTGGAGTCACATGGGCAACTCACATGTCCATGTATGACTGAGTTTCTTATCAGCCAAGCCACATTCCTGGGAAAGCTCAGATGTAGATTGGCGTCTTCAAGATCCATTGTCCGTTAAGTGCTTCTTGATTGGGCATTTAACTTGCGCATTCTTTTCTCAGGAAGCTGACCAAATGCTTACTAAGGCTACTTACAAATCAAGCCAGTACACAGCCAATATTCATAACTTTGAATACAAAAATGATACATACATACAAATAGGATGAATAGATTCAATAGATCATCACCTTCACTGAGATATGTTACATAACATATGTAGCATCAAACATATTCCAGTTATGTCATATATATATACATTCATAAGCATATTTCCATAAAGCCTTACGGGGGGCACCGTTACAGGTACCCCAAGTGAAATGAAAGTAATGAGTGAATGACTGGTCATTTTACAGCAGAGAATAATTTGTTGCTATGGACAATGTTGCTGGTATCAGGGAAGGAATTTAACTTTCTAATGATCTTTTCATTCAAATTTGATTAGGTCTGTATCACAGTTTTATTTCATGTGGTGAGCATAACTGCTAGGAAAGATGTTATAATTCTGTAACAGAGTGAGGGACTACAAATAAATAAATAAGTAAAATAAATCAGAGTTGTCAAGAAAGTGTTAGCCTTAACTCAGGAAAGCCTACATACAATAGCGTACACTGAATGTGGAAAAACATCCACTATCCATTAGCACACACCGGAGGACATTAAAGATAGTATTATCATTAATAATGCTGCTTTTGTTATATTAAAATAACCCCTTATTATTTAGGTCAGATTGTGATACCTTTCCTCACATTGAGTAGCACCTTATTTCACAAGCAGTCCCAGAGCAATACTGTTGGAGTCCATGGTCCACTTGTGGTGTAAGGTACTGTGATCAAGCCAGAATGTGCTTAAGTGGTACAAAGAAGTTTTAAAACAGCTGGAGAAAACCAATGGAAATTTCCCCTTATGCAAGGGAAGTCTTTGCTGGCAAACAGTTGCTGGAGGTGGCTATCACACTTCCTGAGCCAGCTGTCCCCACATCCCTGGCAAAAGGGGAGTGAGAGGTGTAACACAGGTGTTCCTGGAGTGGGATGTGGAGCTGGGGAGGATGGTGGAGTAGAGCTTCCCTATGTCTGATCCTCCACTGGTGCACATATGCCTGCAGAGGAGGTTAAATCAGGCCCTAATATCTGCTCTGATATCTGCTGAAACTGCGTGGTCAAGGATCCGGGAGCCACAACCATCTCCCTGTGGCCACCATTCTCCACTACCTCCAAGTGCAGCTAGGACATAGTCAGTGATGCAAGTAGATTTTAATTCTTACTGGTACGGTGGCTCCTGGGAGGGACACAAAGGGGGGCACCAGCTAAAGGGGGGGCACGTGACCTCCCCCATGACTCCTCCCCACCCCACCCCCAGCCCTGTCCTCTGGCTGGGCTGTTCAGAACTCAGACAGGAGATGCAGCTGTGTGGAAGGGCTGGGGGTGGTACAGCCACTCCAGAGGAGCTGCCAGCATGATCCGCCCCTTTTGGATTTCAATGTAAGCTTTGCAACAGCCAGTTTTTTCTTTTGCAATTCCAGTGCCAATTCCATTTTACTCATCCATCACTATGTTGAAACCAAATTCTGCTCTCAGTTGCAGTAATGAAGCCTCATCAGCCTTATTGGAGTTAAACCAGATTTGGCCTTTACTCTTCCAAACACCTATTGAAAAGCAAGCAAAGTAGAGAATAGAACCATTTTTAAAAGTTGGCTATAGAACACAAACTGAAAGCAGGGAAGTAATCCTTGCCTTGGCTGAGCAACAATGCACAGTAATTCCAAACATGTGTCTTTTCACTCTGGAGTAGGATGCATTGAAAGGTTGCTATTGATTTATAGCAGCAAAAACAAGCACTTGATATTGATTGGGCATTATATCTGCACAGTATTGATGTCAAATATCAAATTTTGCTAAAGCACTCAAAATACATACATCTGTCCTTTTTACCCACTGAACACCAGTTACCAGTGTCCTATATTCTATATGAATCATAATCTAACTACAGCATGAGCTTTAATCTCATCTAGATTTAGCACCAGAATGTTGTTACATCAATCCCTGAAAGCAGTACTACACTTCAAGATCTGTCATTGACTGACCTGTTTTTACAGATTTTATAATTCAAATCATATTGGATTAAAATCTTGTCATGCACATTTTCCCATTAAAAATAGGGCTGCCGATTAATCGCAGTTAACTCACACGATTAACTCAAAAAAGGAATCATGATTGAAAAAATTAAACGCAATTAATCGTAGTTTTAATTGCACTGTTAAACAATAGAATACCACTTGAAATTTATTAAATTGTTTTTGGATGCTTTTCTACATTTTCAAATATATTGATTTCAATGACAACACAGTATGCAAAGTAGACAATGCTCACTTTTGTTATTGTTATTTTTGATTACAAACATTTGCACTGTAAAGATGGCAAACAAAAGAAATAGTATTTTTCAATTCACCTCATTCAAGTACTGTAGTGCAATCTCGTTATCGTGAAAGTGCAACTCACAAATGTAGATTTTTTTTGTTGAATAACTGCACTCAAAAACAAAACAATGTAAAATGTTAGAGCCTACAAGTCCACTCAGTCCTACTTTTTGTTCAGTCAATCGCTAAGACAAACAATTTTGTTTACATTTACGGGAGATAATGCTGCCTGCTTCTTGTTTACGATATCACCTGAAAGTGAGAACAGGTGTTCGCTTGGCACTTTTTAGCCAGCATTGCAAGGTATTTACATGTCAGATACGCTAAACATTCGTATGCTCCTTCGTGCTTCAGCCACCATTCCAGAGGACATGCTTCCATGCTGATGATGCTTTTTAAAAAAATAAATGCATTAATTAAATTTGTGACTAAACTCCTTGGGGGAGAATTATGTCTCCTACTCTGTTTTACCCACATTCTGCCATATATTTCATGTTATAGCAGTCTCAGATGATGACCCAGCACATGTTGTTCGTTTTAAGAACACTTTCACTGCAGATTTCACAAAATGCAAAGAAGATATGAATGTGAGATTTCTAAAGATAGCTACAGCACTCAACCCAAGGTTTAAGTGCCTTCCAAAATCTGAGAGGGACGAGATGTAGAGCATGCTTTCAGAAGTCTTAAAAGAGCAACACTCGGATGCAGAAACTACAGAAAAACCACCAAAAAAGAAAATCAACCTTCTGCTGGTGGCATCTGACTGACTAAGATGATGAAAATGAACATGTGTCAGTCCGCACTGCTTTGGATTGTTATCAAGCAGAACCTATCAGCATGGACACATGGGTAGAAAATGTCCACAACTATTTAAATAAACGGTATCCTATTATTGTTTAGCAGTGCGATTAATCGTGTGATTAATCAAGATTATTTTTTTAATTGCACGATTAATCATGATTAATTTTTAATCACTTGACAGCCCTAATTAAAACTTATTCAAAATAGCACATTTTCATTCTAACTTAAATCTATGCAGACCCTTTCATTCTAATGGATCCTAAACCATATAGCAATATATAAATATAAATCATTTCTCCCATCTGAAATGCCCCCCCATCGGCAGGCCTGCATGTCTGTCCCAGAAAACAGAGGACCACCAACAAAGGGTCTGATTCTGAACTCATACACAGCTGTGTAAATCAAGGATAACTTCTTTGATTCTGATGCCACACAAACTTAAAATTGGTGTAATTCGGTTGAGGTTAAAGGAGTTAGACTGGGGTAAAACCAGTATAAAGGATATTAGAATCAGGCCCTGCATCACTAAAATCACTCTCTGCTGCACCCATTCTTGAGATTTCAAACAGTAACTCAAAACCTCTTAGGGTATGTCTAAACTGTAATGTAAGCCTGGGATTAGTAAAAAGAAAAGGAGTACTTGTGGCACCTTAGAGACTAACCAATTTATTTGAGCATGAGCTTTGGTGAGCTACAGCTCACTTCATCGGATGCATACCGTGGAAGTGAGCTGTAGCTCACGAAAGCTCATGCTCAAATAAATTGGTTAGTCTCTAAGGTGCCACAAGTCCTCCTTTTCTTTTTGCGAATACAGACTAACACAGCTGTTACTCTGAAACCTGGGATTAGTGGAACTCCAGTGAGACACCCTGAGTTTGTTAACTTAGAGCTGAGTGTCTTTTCTCATTTGTAACCCCAGGTTAGAAACTGTTGAATCCTGGGTCCCACTCTGGGGCTCTAGCATCTACACTGCATTATGAAGGCCCAAATCCAACCACCTAATCCCAGAATTCCTAGCACCCTCCCAAAATGTGGCCACTCTAGCCTTTTGTTCATGGTGCAGTATGAGAAAACTTGACTTTTCACCAAATTTGACTGTTCAGAGGCCAAAGAAATCAGCTTGTGGAATACTTTTGATGGACTCCCAGAGCACAAGTCCAGTGAGACTGTGTCTGCACTGCAAAGCTATAAGTCTTGAACCCTGAGTCCTGGCTTCACTCAGGTAAAGATCCTCCACCTCATTGGGTCCTGGGACCTTGGGTCCGAGCCCTGGGTTAGTGTGATTTGAGCATAGATGGAAGGGAGGTGTGATGGTGTGTACACTGGGCCCAAAGGAGTTAAAGGACAATATTGGGCCCAGGTAACCCCGGCCTCCCCTAGACCTGCAGAGCATGCTCCAAGTGAAAAGGAAGCTTAAAAGGGAGCAACTCAGCTCAGAATAGGGAGGAAGACAGACCTACCCTGAGCACTGCTGGACAAGGGTGTCAAAGAAGCCTCCCTGTGAGGAACAGGACTGTACGCTGAGCCCAGTTGGGGCTGAAGGTTTAGTTGTCTTTTTCTTTTATTATCTCATATTGGACTTTGAGCTGTGGGGAGAGAGATGGTAGGACGTGACACAAGGAGGGTAACTCTGAGGGCACTCCAGGATGCCAGGCACCGTTGACCCTCATAGGGCTCTGGGTTGGAGCCTGGTGGAGTGGGAGGGCCTGGGCTCCCCTTCCAACTGCCCCTGCTGCAGGAGAGGCATAAGCCACATTCCAGTCTCACTCCCCTCTGATAAGAAGAGGACAAGGACATTGCAAACCCAAGGTGAAGCTAAGCCAATCCTCCGGTGAGGAACTAAGCTGAAAGGCCTTACTGCTGAGAGGAGATACTGGGTGTGCCACCCACTAGATCACAGCTGGACCTCCAAGGAATCTATGATAGGGAGTTATGCTTGAGCTTAAGTTCAAACCCTGGGCTTACATTGCAGTGTAGACATACCCTATTATCCCCAGTGGGTTAATTTAGAAAAAAATAACCAAGTAATTGAAGCCTGATTCTGATCTCACACCAGTATTACACCAGTCTAACTCCATTCACTTCAACAGAGTTACTCATTAATATTGGTGCGAGATCAGAATCAGGCCCTTAGCCCTTTAAAATTGACCAGGTGCCTTTTGATACTTTGAGAAAAAGGGTTTTGAAACAGCAGAAGCATTGAAAACTTTGATCAATATTTTAGCATCCACATCAGTTATCCATAGCCGTTATTGCACATAATGTCATTCAAAATGAAGTTGACACACACTTTCAAATAATGTCAAGAATTGTGCAAACATTCGACATGCCAATTAAGGTATAATGAAGCAATAATAAATGACAGGGAAGGTATTTACTGTCAGTTAATGGCCAGTTAGAGGAACTGAATCCTAATTTCTTGGGCCCTAAAATTCAAGAATTAACCACTCGGAAATGCCTGACTTGGGGTCATTATTTCTATTCTAAATCATGTGAATCAAATGAAGTAATTACCATTTGATCTTTTTCCACTTTGTCTGATTAATGATGCTGTGATTACTTTTTTTTTTCTTCACGGTTTGCAGCACCATTCTTTTCCTAGCAGTTAATAACTGGTACAGGCAGAAAGCAGGATTTGATTCAGCACTCTCTTTCACACATGGGTTTAAAACATAGAATAATATCAGGATTACATTATTGACTTTACATTCAGTGCTTTCCTCCTCCTCTGCTTCAATTGCACCTCGTATCCATTCTACGCAAGAGTCTGGTGTATTTCCTTGGCTGGCGTGAATAGACATAGCTCAATTCAAGTCAATGGACCTAAAACAATTCACATAGCTGAGAATCTGCCTTCATGTGTATGCTCCAAAAAAAGGATTCTGAAGTGTTCCGTGGCAAGGAGGGTCATAATACATCATTTTTAGTCTTGTTTTTCTTTAACAAAAAAATAACTTGTATGAGTTCACTTACTTTTAAAAATGCCTAAAAAAGCATATCTGCTAGGAGGTACCGAGGGGTCCATTTTGGATGAAAGTCTAAAAAAGTATTAAAAGGGTGATAGTATACAGGATCCCTGAAAGTGTGTGGTTTAGATATTCCTACATGAAATGTGAGTAATTTTCACTTTTTTTTCCTTGCTAGTATGTTATCACTATCAAAGAGACAGCAGTGGTGCTCTATTTACTACTAGGGGACAATCACAAAGGCAACAATTGCAATGTCATGATCTGTATTTCATTTTTAACTATTGAGGGTAGAATATGTAATTTGCATTACCTTAATTTTCCTCATGACTTTTAGATGATTGATGATCTTTTTCTGGAGTGTTATTTTCTTAAAATGTTCTTTGTCAGAGTTATTGTTTATTGAACAAATGTACAAATTATAATCTTAATTTATTCTGTAGTCTCCAAATTACCTTCTTGTATGAATCAGTTTCCAGATCACTCCTTGCTTGATGGCTCATCACAGCTTTCCATTGTCTGAGAATTTTGGTACAAATATATTTAAACCTTCATGGATTACTTCTGCAAGAAAATATAATGATTTCTGTAGTAGTATGGATGATTATTCTACATAAATTAAAGATGGGAGAATAATATTCATTGCCCATTCTAACATTTTTGTAATTATTTCTCAATAAATGTTCCCATTAGTCAGCCAACACTATTGATAAGTCACTACTGGTGTATGGATTATAGATTTACTGTTTCAGTTTATAGCTGTGGAGTATAGTTTTGTTGGTCACTTTTACAACAATGCTGGAAAAAATTCTACAAATTTGTATTCAAAAACTGTGTAACATCCCTTAATGCTGAGTTTGAATAGTACTTGGTATCTGATTATATTTCAGGGATGGGTATTCACTATCCAGCAAATCTGGAAAAAGTGAATTCATCACTAGATGAAAAGAAAATTGTTTAGGCACGCAAGAATATGGAGGTGGACCAAGCACATAGGAAAGAATAGAAGAAAAACACAAAAACCCAAAAGAAAGGCTACAAATGGAAGCTAAAAAGAACCCAAAGAGAGGAAGGGACAAGAAGAAAGGACAGCAGAGATATAGGCAGGGACAGAGCTGTGCAGGCCTTCAAAAAAGTGAGAGGACCTTAGCTTTGATTAAGAAAGACTGAGATCCAGAGATGGATTCAAAGAGGGGGTTATGACTAGAGCTGGTAAGAAGTTTAAGGGAATGATGATTCTTTGTGCAGAAATGTTTCACTCAGTCTTATTACAGATTCAGTGAAACTTTCACTGAAACACGGGCAGGTTTTGGGGTCCACAGCTCTGGTGGGAAAGCTGGCAGCCCCAGATCCTTTGACGCAGCCAGACTCTAAGGGCTTGAAGACTCTTTGTTTCCCAAGGAGCATCTAAGTGAAATTGACATTCTTGCAAATTTAATGGCTGCTATTCAGTGACAAGAATGTCAGTATCACATTTCATTTCAGGAACGCCATATTTTGGTGTTTCTGAAACAATATATTCAGGGATCTCCATTTTCCTGAGAAATTCCATAAATTTGCTTTAATTCCAAATCAGAACAAAAGCAAATTCATAAATAGCAAAATCCCCAGCAAACTGAAATCCCTGAGTTTAGGCCAGCTCTAGTTATGTAATGGGCAGAGTAACAAAGAGGAAATAATCTTATTTGTAGCATTTTTGATAGAGAAATGACAGTGTAATTTTTGACCCTATGTACTATTTTGCTTGCATTCCCTCTATGCAAATTCGGAAAATGTGGTTGAAAGACCACATTCAAAGAGAGGTTACCGAACTGGGAGGATGACTCCACTGGGGTCAGTCCTGAGTCCAGTTCTATTCAATAATTTCATTTATGACTTGGATAATGGAGTGGAGAGTATGCTTATAAAACTTGCAGATGACACCAAACATGGAGGAGTTGCAAGCACTTTGGAGGACAGGATTAGAATTCAAAATGACCTGGATAAATTAGAGAATTGGTCTGAAATCAATAAGATGAAATTCAGTAAAGACAAGTGCAGAGTACTACACTTAGGAAGGAAAAAGAAAATGCACAACTACAAAATGGGAAATAACTGGCTAGGTGATATTGCTGCTGAAAGGATCTGGGGGTTACAGTGGATCACAAATTGAATATGAGTCAACAATGCGATGCAATTGCAAAAAGGCTAATAATTCTAGGATATATTAACAGGATTGTCATATGTAATATGTTCTACTCTACACTGGTGAGGCCTCAGCTGGAGTACTAGGTCTAATTCTGGGCACTACACTTTAGGAAAGATGTGGATAAATTGAAAAGTCCAGAGCAAGCAATACAAATGATAAAAAGTTTTCAAAACCTGACCTATGAGGAACTGGGCATGTTTACTCCTGAGGAGAGAAGACTGAGGGGGGACCCAATAAAAGTTTTCCAATAAGATAAGAGCTATTAAAAGAGGATGGTGACTGTTTGTTCTCCATGTCCACTGAAATTAGGATAAATAATGGGATCAATCTGCAGCAAGGGAGATTTAGGTTAAAAATTAGGAAAAACTTTCTAACTATAAAGGTAGTTACATTCTAGAATAGCTTCTAAAAAAGGTGGTGGAATCCCCATCATTGGAGGTTTTTAAGATTAGGTTGGACAAACTCCTGTCAGAGATAGTCTAGGTTTACTTGGTCCTGCCTCCGCTTGACTTAATGTCCTCTTGAGGTCTCTTCTAGCCCTGCATTTCAGTGATTGTATGATTTGCGCAGCCATTTGCTATACAAATGCTATACAAATGCTAAATTGCTGCTCCTAACTTTGTAGATGCATGGACTGATACATCTTTAAACCAATTGTGTTTCTCGTCTAAAAATAAGCACAAAATTTGGCCTGGTTGTCAGCCATCCTTCAAGAAAAGCCCACTACTGCAAAAGCCAGGGTGTCATACTGCCAGTACAGAGGATGGATGTTCATAGGCAATTTTATGTAGGGTGCTTGTACATTTTCTACCCATGCCCTGCTGGTCTAAGATAGACCACTTAGTTCTTGATCAGCCCAATGACTTCAGTAATGGGCATTAGATTAAGTCTACAGTCCCTCATTTTTGTGAGCAAAATTCACCTCAAAAATGATAGTCAGTTTTCTATACATTTACATTTTCCTCATATCTGTTTTAAAGTGGTTTTATTCAAGCAATAAAATTATCAAATAAGTGACTTCACATTACATTAAATGAATGCTAAGAGTCTACCAGGAACTGACAAAAGCAAGGACATTCAAACAAAGCTGTCACTCCACGCACTCAAAGTGACAAGCTACACAACAAATATCCTTGTTGTGATTATGATTTGTATCTCTAATGATGTTTCAACATATCTGCTGTATTTGTGCTATTACAGACCATTAAAAGTAGTTGGGAGTCCTTAATGGACCTTTAAATAATGAGATAAATGTTGAAAACACTGAGCAGAAAATGAAAGCACAACAGCCCTTATTCAATGGACAAATTTGGTAAGGTGAATAATTTTTTGAAAACTGTAACTTCACTGAATGTGAAAGTTTTGGGCCATATTCTGTTACCCTGAACATTGAGTGGCACCTTACTCCACTCCTAGCCCCATTGACTTGCCAGAATATGGCCCTCTGACTTAGAACCCCAAAACTCCATTCATCTGTGCAAGGGATTTATCTGACCCTCATCACTATAGCATTTGAGAGCCACACAAGTTGTGAGGATAAATACATTAAAACACACCTGGGAGGTAGGGCAGTCAGGTAAACCAAGTCTTCAGCTACTGCCCTACCCACTGGACCGTTTCCTTCCTCTTAAAATTAAGAATTCCATTCCCCAAGCAAACCTTTCATTGATTTCAATGGGAATTCTATGGTAAAAATGGATTTTTATTTGGAATGAGATTGGAATGTTGTCAGAGCTGAGGGGGAAAATTTGGTTTCCTGGTCTGGCTCTTCTTTTATGAAAAGAAAGTATTGGTTTGCTAGTCTTTGTCTTAATTGGGCTGTATTTTAGGTGTTTGTCAAGGGAGCACAGAGCCTGGGGGAAGGTGCTGCTTTTATGATTATTTGTAAAAAATAAAATAAATCCATTGTTAATCTTTCCCATCCCGGGACTCCAGCCCTTGAAACCTTCCTCCCATCCAGCCACATCTTGCCAGGCTGAAGGCCCTTTAGTCTCAATAAAAGCATAGTGTATATACAGTAGATTACCTTAAATAATGTGTGAATCTTGTTTCCCTGAAAAGTGCTAAGTTGACACCCCTGAAGACTGGAGTCCTCTATCCACAGATCCGATACAGAACTGGCAGCAGCATGGCTGTCAATCCAGCAACTTTCAGGAACTCTAAATTCACACGTACACAATTGTGGGGGGAAAAAGAAACTTGATTATTTCAAACATTCACACCTCTCTACATTCCCTGGTTCCACGCAGGATTGAAATAGGAAATGTCATGACATTTTCTAGAACTGCAGTTGCCTGAGGGAAAAACAGAACTGACAACCCCTAAAGAAATTGTCTTGTTCAGATATCTCCAGTCCAACTTGCAGATTAAAGTCTGGTTTATCCAAATCAAAGCTCCACATTTCTTTTAGATTGACCAGTCACTGCTTTGGTCCTCATGGCCCTTCTCTTTAAAAAGATGGTGGCATTTAGAATAAACATTGCGTTTTACAGGTACTGACAGAATCAACTCTCAGCAAAGTGGAAGTATGTGTCTGCTGAAATGCCCCTATTGTCTTTTCTGACATTCATTCAGGTCCCATCCATAACAAGATTCTCCTCTTCCTGATTCTGGGAATATTCCAGGAAATCCAAGATATCAGATTACCATGTTATAGTTCAAGGGGAGTGTTCTATACCCAAATGCAGAGTTTAAGTTGCATAGACAGATCTTCAGTTTTTTTAAAGGAGAAATGTAAATGTAAAGAGCTCACAAAGAAAAAGAGCTTGTCCTAAAATTTGAGAGATGTTTTGCAAATTTACCCTCCAGACATTTTTATGCATGTTTATAAATCTCTTCTGAATCCAGGCCTTGGGCAGCAATGTCTTTGGGTCAGGGACCATGTTTTCTTTGGGTGTGTATGGTAATTAGCATAATGGGCCCCCAATTGAGGCCTCTGGGCACTACTGCAATACAAATTAGTAATAACCACAGTGTTTATCTGCAGTAAAGATACAGAGTTACTTTCTACTGTATGTATATTAACTTGTAATATGGGGACATTATGATGTTAATGTGATACCTCATAATGATCCCTCTGAAGCCATTAAAAGGGGGTCATGGCAAAGTTCCACTTATTAACAGCCTAAAACTAACCATTACAAAGCCTAATGTCAAAGATTTGCTTGTTAATATCTTCACACCATTGACTGACATATGGAACCTACTTATCAGTGTTTCCTTATTCTGTATTGTTTTTTTTCTTTCCTGCTTTTCAATTTCTTACTCACTGTTTTCTCCTTCTCCTGAAAAGGTTTGTTTGATTTCTTTTATTAAACCAGTAAGAAAAGAAAGTTATATTAGACAAAAGATTCCAGTAAAATACATTTGTCATAAGCTGACAAAATGCAAAGAGTCATACTAAGGATGTGGACTCACAGCTCCTAAGTCTTCCTGGGCCTGTTGCTGTGAAGTGATGAATGCCGTTGGCTTCAGCAAAACAGGTGTAGCTCAACTTCTTGCAGAATTGGGCTCCTGTACTTATACTGGATACCGTACATACTCCCAACTTTTTCTGAGAGTCCTGTAAGAATGGGAATGAAAGAACTGTAAATTGTATAACTGCTCTGGACTGTTGTTGAAGAGAGAGAATGACTAAAGTGGACTTGCTAGTCCCTCTGTCAATGAGCACTACTGCTTAGAGAAATGCCCAAGAGGAGACAAGGGAGGAAGAACAAAGGAACCAGGAAGCAAGCAGCAGATATATTTCATCTAATTGTTCTGGCTTTTTTCTTTATGTTTCCTTTTAAGAGTCTGTCTGTTGTAAGATAGAGATTTGAATGACTAATAAGATTTGGCAAAGAAAGACATATTTACATTTTCTGCCTCCATTACTGAGTAAGATAACTGAGGCTGTAGACACAATACTCCCCAATGCTCCACCACAGTGGGGCAATTTTGCTCCTCCGCCCTGTTTTTTGTGAAAGCATGCCCCATCACAGTGCTCACAGAGAGTATGGCCTGGGAAAGGGACATGACCAAGACACTGTTACATCCTGGCAATCCCTGGCTGCCAAAAGGGGACCTGAGGATTGCTTGCAGCTGATATAGGGTGTCCTACTCTATGTCAGGGCTCCAGGACAGTCCCAGGAGTATGCAGCACAAAGGGGGCTTAACATTACCTTGAACTTGCTTCTCCCTTACTTCCAAAGCTGAGCCAAGCAATCTGTGATAAATTAAGTGGGTGGTAGGTAGCCCCCTTTGATGGACACTGTCATAAAAATAAAGGGAAGGGTAAACCCCTTTAAAATCCCTCCTGGCCAGAGGAAAAATCCTCTTACCTGTAAAGGGTTAAGAAGCTAAAGGTAATCTCGCTGGCACCTGACCAAAATGACCAATGACGAGACAAGATACTTTCAAAAGCTGGGAGGAGGGAGAAAAACAAAGGGTCTGGGTCTGTCTGTATGCTGCTTTTGCTGGGGACAGAACAGGAATGGAGTCTTAGAACTTTTACTAAGTAATCTAGCTAGGTATGTGTTAGATTATGATTTCTTTAAATGGCTGAGAAAGGAACTGTGCTGAATAGAATGACTATTCCTGTCTGTGTGTCTTTTTTGTAACTTAAGGTTTTGCCTAGAGGGATTCTCTATGTTTTGAATCGAATTACCCTGTAAGGTATCTACCATCCTGATTTTACAGAGGTGATTCCTTTACTTCTATTAAAAGTCTTCTTGTAAGAAAACTGAATGCTTTTTCATTGTTCTAAGATCCAAGGGTTTGGGTCTGTGGTCACCTATGTAAATTGGTGAGGATTTTTACCAAACCTTCCCCAGGAAGTGGGGTGCAAGGATTGGGAGGATTCTGGGGGGAAAGATGTGTCCAAACCACGTTTCCCAGTAAATCCAGATAAAGTTTGGTAATGGCAGTGGAAATCCAAGGGTAAAATAATTTTGTACCTTGGGGAAGTTTTAACCTAAGCTGGTAAAAGTAAGCTTAGGAGGTTTTCATGCAGGTCCCCACATCTTTACCCTAGAGTTCAGACTGGGGAAGGAACCTTGACAGACACACAGTTAGCTGTAAAATCCCTCTTGGTGTCTGTTCTCTGCTTGCTTTATCTGTAAAGGGTTAACAAGCCCACAGGTAAAAGAAAAGGAGTGGACACCTGACCAAAAAAGCCAGTGAAAAGGCTAGAACTTTTAAAATTGGGAAAGAAACTTTCCCTTTGTCTGCTGTTCTCAGGGCTGCAGGGACAGAGCAGCAATGCTATAAGCAGGAATGCTGTGTAAGGTTTGAACCTGGTATGAAAAAGTATCTTCCATACCTATGCAAGCAGAGTCAGAATGAGCTCTACCCTGACATCTGGTGGTGAGCTGTGGAAAAGGACTTCAGGGGCTGATCTCGTTTGCATGGGCATACCCACCCTGCCTAGCATGATGGACTGCTTGCCCAAATGGTCACTTTGGCTGCTGTGGGATCCCCAGTCTCTTTGTTATTGGGACAGGAGTAATAAAGGGTTGTAATCTTGGTTATGTGAATCAAGGACAGTAGAACTGTACTTGGTATTTTAGGATGGAGGAACTCGCCCTCAACTAAGTAGCATTCGCTAGGCAAGGGACATGGGTTCCAAAACCCAGTGACTTGAGAGAGGCTGGGGGATAGGTATATGTACCTAGTAGTGTGGGTGTGTCCTAAGGACCCTAAACACTACTTTAATCCCCTCTCCTTGCTCCACTGTGTAATAACAGAGCTAATTTTGGCTCCATTAGGAATTTTGTTACATGCTACAGAGCTGAAATCACTGATACTTGGGTCTAAGCATTAGACCTACTTTGGGCTAGTGGTACACCAGCACTGATGCTCTCTTACTACCACATAAAACTCACTCAGAGCTGAAATCACTAAAAAGAGTTCAAGTTACTGAGAGCTCTGTTGGGTGTGGGGGACAATTTGCTGAGCAGACAGCAGGATGGCTAGTGTGGAGAGTGGCGTGGACAGCTGGGTGGCTGGTGGAGAGGAGCGGTCAGCAGGATGGCTGGAAGAGAGGCACAGCTGGTGGTGAAGACTGCGGCAGAACCCCATGGAGAGACGTGGCACTCGGCCATCGATCTGAGCAGCGGAGCATGTAAGATGCCCCCATACCTCCCTCCCCATACCTCGAGGTGAGCTGTCGCAGGGGGCGCAAGGAGGGCTGCCTGCACCGCAGCAGGTAACCAGAGAGGGGGCCGCGCAGGGGAACCACTCCCCGCCCCAGCTCACCTCCGCCACCCTCGGCCTGAGTGTGAAGCCACCGCCTGCTTCTCAGCCCTCCCAGGCTTCCCACCAGACAGCTGATTCGCGAGAAGCTGGGGGTGGCGCAGAGAAGCAGAGCGGGGCAGCGCGTTCAGCGGAGGAAGTGGAGTGGAAGTGAGGTGAGCTGGAGCCAGGCGCGGGGTGGGGAGCTGCCAGTGGGTGCTGTGCACCCACCAAATTTTCCCCGTGGGTGCTCCAGCCCCGGAGCACCCAGGGAGTCGTCGCCTAAGGTGCCACTTTTGATGTGATCAGGGGGCAAGCAGCCACTCCCCCTGCTTCCCCCCCTAGCTACGCTCCCCCGCCCCTAGGAGCCAGAGGGACCTGCCAGATGCTTCCTGGGAGCTGCCCCAGGTAAGCACCTCCAGGACTCCCCACCTCGCCCCCCCGGCAAGTCCCTCTGGCTCTTAGGGGTGGGGTGGGCACCCACTATGGTGGCCCACGAGACCCTCCTGCCCAGTTCTGGGGGCAGTCAGGGGACAGGGGAGGGGGTGGATGGGTCAGGGGTCTTGAGGGGGGAGCATCAAGGAATGCGGGGAGTTGGATGGGGCAGGAGGTGGGGGTGGGCAACGACCCCCTCGTGGGGTGAGGAGGGAACCTGTTGTTAAGATTTTGGCAGCTCATCACTGAACGGAACCCCTAGATAGTGAACCCAGCCCTTGTTGCTGCCAAGTCTGACAGGCAGAAGGGTTACACCTAGAAGAAATTATTTAGATAGGGAATGTTTAGATAGATGCAATCAGGTTTCATTTTTATTTTGGCTTGTGGATCTCCTCTGTTCTAATCCCTGATGCTTTTGTTTGCTTGTAATCTTTAAACTGAACACCCAAGAAAACTGGTCTGAGTGCTTAACTTTTGGAATTGCTCTTTTAAAATCTAGCAAAAGCCTAAGTTCCAGATGCATTTTTTTCCTTTTTGCTTTTAATAAAATTTACCTTTTTTAAGAACAGGATTGGATTTTTGGTGTCCTAAGACGTTTGTGCAGGTTGTTTGATTAGGTGGTAGCACAGCTAATTTCCTTTGTTTCTTTCTCAGCTCCTCCCCGAAGGGGCGGTGAAAGGGTTTGAGGGTACCCCACAGGGAGGAATTCCCAAGTGTTCCTTCCTGGGTCCAAAGGGGTTTTTTTTGGGTGGTGGCAGCATTTACCAACCCAATGTCAGAGAAAGCTGTAACCTTGGGAGTTTAATACAAGCCTGGAGTGGCAAGTATTAATTTTTAGAATCCTTGCGGGACCCCATCTTCTGTAGTCAATGACAGAGTGGGGATTTAGCCTTGACACAATCCAACACTGCAGCTCAGTATTTGGTCCTGTTTTTAAATGTAGAAATAGACAACAACCAGCTATATGATCCAAATTTTAATCCAGTAGAACACCCCAAATTGGAAGTTGTTCAAAATCTAGTTACGCATCTGAATGTTGCAGCTTGGGTCCATATCTGATTTTCATAAAGGTAACCAGTGTAGGTCTTTTTTCTGTAGTCTGGTCCCTGCATCTGTTACATATCTTTTTATTTGTATGGAGATCTTCCGTGGGAGATAAGCATGCTGGCTACTAGGACTGTGTACAAGAATATCCCATCCAAAACAAGGCCGCAACTGGCATAAAGCTCTCACACATGGGAGCATTGATTTCAAACTGGTTTGCATTTATGAATAAGTTCAAACAACTTTTATTAGTGTGCAATTTTACACACTCAACAAGGGAAAACCCCCTTCAGTACATGATATGCAGCCATTTTATGGCTTCAACACATGCTCACACCGATGTCTGAGTTCAAACCCTCTGCCGCACTCTCTTTCGGCTTGTTCTAAATTTTCACATGCCAAAATGCGGGAAGTCAATATAACTTCCCCAAGCACCGAGGCTGGATGTTACTAAAATATGACAAATTGCCATTATAGGAAAGGAGTCTTCATGGAAGGTGCCAAAAGGTAGATATGGATTTACAACAAGCTTTTTGGCTGTATCATTGCCCTGGGATATTATATAAGATATAGGAAAATTCAAATAAAGGGAGTATTTTCACAATAAAATATATTTTTTGGAAAAAATAAGAGATGTGGAAAATATCCTTATGTTACCCAATACAGTGGAGAAACTGTCTGAAGATGAATTATCTTTATAGTGTATTAAGATTAACTCCTAAAGTGTAAAAGCTAGTCTCATGAGTAGCCTGTTCCAAAAATTGCAGTACCAGAGGCAGAATTAAATTTTCACCTAACTTTCTCAAAATGTTTTCCATTTCTTTAGCTGACCATATACATCTCACTCCTCTAGAACCTGACCTTTCATATTTG